ATTATTTAGCGCAAGGATACAAAAGAGGTTCCTTTTTCAATTTAACTTTTATCTCATCATGCACATGTAGTTCAAACAAGTTTGTGTTGGAGAAAATTAACAGAATTGCAATAGAATGCCATTTTACCATAGCTAAAGTTATGCCATGACAACAATGACACTCTTGTTCAATTAATACTACTAAACAGTGTCAAATAGTATCGCCTGTTTACAAACACATCTAGCTACCAATGAATGGAGGTCAAACTTCTGAATCAGGTCAAACTATTTTAAGTTACTTTATTAAAAACAAACAACACTGATAACAGAAGGTTGAAAAACAACAGGAAGTCACAAAGAAAAAAAGACGGGCGGATGTCTACATGTTCACTTGACTGTCTTATTGTTTTTGAAAATCATGCCTTACTCCACCTGCCTTTCTGGGAAATTTTGTTTCCTGACAGGAAACAGGCGTGCATGGATGAAATACATGCAGCTGTAGATCCAAGTCAAGTCTACAGACAGTGAAATAATTATTTGCTGTTGTGGAGGCTGACAAATAGCTATTCCTTTTCAACTACGCTCAAATAACTAAGACAAATAATGGCAAAACTATTTACTATCTAACTTTCTAACTTATAAATGCTACATGACTTAAGCTTCTCCAAAGGGAAAAAACATTTTGATGGCTTTGACGAGATACAAGTAACACTATTTACGTATTATTTTATCACATGATAAAGGGAAGTTACGTCAAAGAAATAATTTGGCGGCAAGGATCAAACAGGCTTCAGATACCTAGTTAAAACTATTAGACTTATTTATGATATCCAAAACGGAAATACAGCCACTGTAGAATTATAGATTAGTATGAGTCTATTAATCTGGTAAAAAAATTATGCTGTTTTTATATTCAATTTTCTAAGCCAAAGAAATCTTGGATCAATATTAAAAGAATGGAAAAAAACTATAGTAGAAGTTAAGCCACTGAAAAAACTCTTAGAAGTTGTATCTAATCATAATATTATCAAGTGTACAACTGCCATGCTTCACCTTCTATTGACTGCGTGTTTATTTAACACAACAAAATAATAATACCTCACTTTACAAGTAAATCTGCAACCTTAATCTATCTCCATAATGTTTGATATGTCCTACAAAGACCACAAAAACACACTGTACTTTCAGGCAAGACTGCTGGTCCAAATGGGTGCAGTCCCTTTCTTGTGCAAGAGAAACTTTAAATTAAAATTCATTACATGAACTTCAAGGCCTAGTGGCTAGCAGCGTAATGAAAAAATAGGAATTTCACTTGTTAAAGTATATGAAAGGTTTGGGAAATCTGTCAATAGGCCTAAAAGAGCTTACAGGTGCATTTTAAGGCTGTAGAAAAGTTGAGGAAATGTTCTGGCTTAGTGATTTATTCACGTTTTAAAGACAGTTCATTTACAGCAGTTAAAGGGATGCAAAGTTTTAAACTGGGTATGTTGAAGGGGCACCATTAATTTCTCAATAGAAGGTATGCGGAAGGGTTCCTGTTCTATCAAAAATGGCTATAAAGGGTAAGAGGTTGGACCCTGGGGTCAGAGCAGTCTAGGCTCAGGTTTGATTACCGTATGGACAAATCTCTTGGTCTTACAATAACTTAGACATTCTAGTCATCTCAGGTTAGACATTCTAGTCATCTCAGATGAAGATGAAACCCCATAGGCCGCATCTCAGAGCACTTTCACCGATCTGACTAAATGTGGTACATAAAAGACCCATACTGCTGTCTGTATGTCTACGACGACTTCTGTGATGTACTGTGCAGAGTTTTCAAGGTGAAATCCCCAAACACAGTCTATTTAAATCATTTTTGCTCATCCACATGCTAAACTATGGAAATACAATGGTGTCCCTTACAGGGCATGCACTGTATCATGTATGTCATCATCCTGTACAAAAACCTCTATTTTCCTCTGTCCACAAGAAAACGAAAAGCCAGCACTATCAAAAAACTCTGCTCTGGAGCCAGACCATTTTCAAAAACTGGCAACTTTAGTGTCCAGAAAAGCTGTTAACATATGGAAGGAAGGGAAAGAGGGGAAAAAAATCTCCATTTACAAAAATCATTTTATCTGAGTATGTGTGGACAGGCTTATTCTCATGACAGTAAGCAAAATCAAGGCAAAGTAGGCAGGGGTTTCAGTAAAATACAAATGTAGATTGATCTGTACACTGCTGGTATCTGACTCCTAAACAATGAAACCTGGGGTTAGATACATTACGCTCAGAACTGTAGAGTCATGCTTTTGAACATCATCCTCAAAACAACAGCATCATGCCGAAAATTATGCTCAGAGAAGAAGTGCTGTGCTTGACTAATCTTGGTTATATTATTTTGATGCCCTTTTCCATCCCCGCAGCAAAAAACCTTCCATAAGCCAGAAAAAAAACATTTTATTGCATTAATTACTAGCAGCCATGGTGGACCAACAACTGGAAAGCCTCTGCAGCCTGGCATAATGATGCAAGGGGGGGTGGGGGGAGGATCAGGCCTGTAGTAGCCAAGTCTTTGATTATGTCAAATCCTTACTAGAAGCACTTGAAAGTGAAAATTTCTTATTACAGTTATAACTATTATGGAAAGGGGAAACATAAGTTTTGTTATCATCATCATTCTCTTTATGATAAAAAAATGCCCATTATACCGGCATCATGCTTGATGCTTCGACAATAGCATTATGCCCAAAATTACGCTGCTGCAATTATGTATCTAACCCTAATGAAACCCCCACGGTTTCAAAGCTGTTATTAAATTTGAACCTCTCAACAACTGCTCTTGTGGGGACAGAGATAAGAGACTGTTGTACAACAATGGCCATAATAGGGAGGTACTACTGTAATGTGACACCACTTTTTTTGGGAAAAAGCAGTCCACTTTTTTTATCTTAAATCGCCTTTTTTATGGCATACATGTATTATATACAACACAATCAAAAACATTAATGAAACAAAACACAAAACACAAAAAAAATGTCAACAAAAATTATCCTTTATTTTTAAATGGCTATTGTGAAGATGTTATTTTGCAGCTGAGATGCATTTAACTGGCTGCTAAAATTGTGAAGGGGTGGCTTTTGAGAGGAAGTTAAAAAGAGTGAATGTATGGATTTTCTGCAAGACCAAAAAATGTAGACGTTAATGCAGACAGCCAACCTAGAGGTTTAACGGTGTACTCCTGACAGAGTTTACATTAAGTATTGTAGAAAACTTTTCAACACTGGCCAAATAGCAGCTACCCTGTAAAACTCATAGCCGGCAGAGTGAATTGTTCTGAACAAATCATTTTTTTGCGACATTTTGACAAGGTTTCAGAGTAGATAAAGCCACATAATGTTCCAAATTTAACTTGACAATAGGACAACAACAACAGGATTGGAGTTTCACCCTTCTTGTATCATAAAGCTACTTTATTACAGTTTTCTGCAATTGCGTGAAGCTTGTTTTAGAGAGAACACAGTAAATTTTACAAATCTGGTAATCTGTTTTGTTAATGTTATTCACGTCACACTGTCTGGTATATTGACAAGCTGTCAATTTACGAATGAACTGAACCATGAAATATTAAGGGGTATTTCCAGAATCATGGGGTTTGCCGGCAAGCGTTAAGGGGTATTTCCAGAATCATGGGGTTTGCGGGCAAGAGTTTCCTCTTCACCCCTGTCCCTCCCATTTCCATTTTTATGCTCTCGCTCCAACTTTCACAATAACTCGATTGGAAATGCTTGCTTCCCAGGCTACTAGAGATCTAACATCTGGAGACTGTCTCTTTTGTAGTAACACCTTCCAACATCAATAATCAACCTCCCCCACCCCCCTGAACCTCAAACACGATTATATTAAAATTCTAACATGACTTTGAGGCTTTCTGGTCATTTTTCTATATTTGGTTTGGTGTTCTTTGTGCTCAAATCTTTTCTGGGAATTGTGAGACCATGGAGTCGTAAAAAATTTGCATTTTGACCCTAAAGCCTTGGAGTCATGTCAGAATTTTAATATATCGAACGTGGGCTATTACAACATAGCTGTGGCTCAGGACATTTTACAAAGTCTTACAAGAGGTAGAGACCGTAAAAATTCACTTTTTTCACTAGTGACATGAGAGACCAGGATATTTCTGCCATATCCAGGAGCCCCAGATAATTTGGGAAAGTTGGCATACGCAATTATTATTTAATTTTTGAAAAAATAGTAGCATAAGGAAATTAAAATTATTGCAGAGTTGTGGTTAATACTATGTGGGTGGTGCACCTATTAGTGCTTTTAGGCTTGTCAGTGGATGAGATTTGCCTTATTGATGTTATTAAAGTTGGAATACAACAGTCATTTCGTTGCATTCTAGGAAAGTAAAAAAAAACAAAAGTAAAGAGAATCAGTATCTTGGTGTTAAGGATTTAAGATTTAAATACAGCCTCTCAGCTGTAACTCGCATTAGGACTCTAACTAAGATCCACCGCTCAATATTAAAAATTGAAAGGTCTGCTCTGTATCAAATATTGTTAAAATAAACCATGCATGTTAGCTACAATTAATTAAAACGCTTACAATGATTAAGGAATCTAGCTAAGACAACTACCACATGGAAATGAATAAAAGAAAATAACGGAAATTTACTTACATTTCCAATGGCTAAGAGACCTTTGTCAAAAAAGAACAGTACACCGAGAAATAGAAAGAACACTCCAAATCCGGACACTCCAATGCCGATTTCTGCGACACAAAAACCACCCATAAAATTACTAAAAACTCAAGCAAAAAAAATAAATAAAAGCATCAGAGAACGCTTACTTTGGTAATCTGTTATGGGAAGCATTTTCCGAAACGTTTGTGTGAGTTTTATTCAAGTTATAAGTCCATTTCCTGCTAAATATTTTTGATAAAAAGTCAAAAAAGCCACGTCAAATTCTTGACAGCGCATGCGTTCGACTGGACAACTGGTCAAGAAGAATGCGGGCTTTTTGAGTGGGTGTCAGCATATAAAGCACAGTGGCACGCGATATCGCGTTAGCATTCCAAATTGACGGCAAACAGTCCCAAAAATACTGGCGGGAAACCTCATTTCTTAGTGTGGGAAAAAACCGAAAATATACGCTTGATGCCAAAATTGTAAGGTCTAGTGGGTTCTTCATGGTGTAGTGATGCTTGAAAAATCTGTCCCCGAAGAAAACTTATTGGTATTGAAACGGTTTCGACGTGTTTACCGGCATATTCGCCGAGTCCATTCAAGGAGTTTGACGTAGGAGGTGAGCGGTGTTTGTGTTGATCGAAATGAATTTCGTCGGTGTTCGTTTCCTTATATATGAACGTGTAACTTTAAAAGAGTATACTGCGTATTCTTGAAGGTCGATCGACCGTTTAAGGAGTGAGACGACGGCTAAATTCGTCCCAAGTTGGCCAAGTTGGTCGTTGTTGGCATTCCACAGAGGAAGTCTTGACGATGCGGTTCGCGGCACGTCGAAGGAAGCCCAGCGTTCTTAGCGCTTTGATCAGAAGAGAGACGAATATCCAGTATCCAAGTGATCGGGATTTACTACTTTCTTACGCCGAGGAGTCCTCTGTTTTATCCTGCCATCGAACGAAGGTATGTTTCTTTATGAGATTTTTCACCGGTATGGTGTTACTATTAATTTTGTTTTCACGTCGTTTTCAATTTGATTGAAGATTGTGTGACTTCTTAGGACTAAAATTAAACATAAATTCGAAATAAATCGTAGTATTATTTTATTTTCAAATGTCACTTTTTTCCTAACTTTTGGACCTCCGTTAGATTTTGCTCTTGTGTCATTTCCTGTTCCATTTTGATAGTTTCTTCGTTGTGGTGACGACAGGGCAAAACCCTAAAAACTGCGCAAACAGTACTGGCTCTATACTTTTGACACTTTTATTTCTTTTCATATCCATTCTATTAATAGCATCCGGTTTCCCAGTGATAATGTCCCCCCTTTTTTGAATATGTCTAGTTTTTATTTTAATTAATGATCTCGAGTCTGAGAGATTGATTATATTATTATTTCGCCAAACAAAACCCCGCTTGTTAATGTCAAGTTGACGCACGTACTGAGCTATCCCCAAGTTCAAAGGTTCAATGTCGCACCATTGTTTACGTTAACGTGGATCTTTTATTTTTAATTTGCCTCCCACACGCTGCTATTCGGCATTTGTCACGATGTGAAGGAGTAAGATCGGAGCCAAAATCGAGTAGAAAAACTTATTTGGAACACAGTGTAAGGGCTTTGTTCAGTAGCTGTTTTTTAAGTGGCGATAGATTATTGTACGTGAAGGCTATTATTGTGACCTTGAAAGCCCTTAAGAAAACAGTATTGTCGGATCGCCTGGACCTTTCAAGAGCTGCGACTTATATGCGCCAAATACAGACCCATCACAGTTAACAAATTCATCAGTTCTCAAGTATTTTGAGGCACAATGATGCGCAAATACATCTCTTTAATTACCTGACCTTGACTCACTGAATGTAAATCAGACCACATCCTGTTGATACTTTGTTTTTGCTGGTGATCAAGAAATGAATTAAGAGCGGCCGCCTCTTTATTCGCCTCAATAACGTGCATTGCAAGATATTTTTTTTCTGTTTTAACAACTTCTAAAGAATTGTTATTGAGAAGAAGGGTAAAATTCTCATGTGTTATTTATACACTGTATATATTCAAACATGCTAAACGGAGTTTGAAATGATTATTTTGAATATTTTGTAACATTTTTCTGGGTAGAAAATTCACGCTGAACAACTTGCAACTTAAACTAATATATAGAAGTTTTTTAAAACTGAATTGACATTGAATTGTTGAGTTGAGATCCCCAAAAGATAATTCATTTACAAGTTTTGAGACAGAATGCTTTAGGCACTATTAATTCTCTGGTATTGTTGATGACTTCTAATAGACTGTGTCCTTGACATTGACACAGGCCTAGGCCTAGACCTTGACCTTTGCATAAGGACATGTACCTTATCTTTTTTGCTAGTTACATTATGTTGATATGTACCCATACAGCTGTACATCAACATTTTCCTTGTTTCATGTAAATTGAGTTGACTTGTTGATGTTGTTTTAAGAAAAAAGTCAGGGGTAATTATTTTTGGCAGTGTGACTAATAAGATATAGTACAGGATCAAAACCATGAAAAATCCACTTGAGCTTAGCTGGATTATTTGAACTTAAGTGTTGGTAATTAATGAGACAGGGGAAAAAATTTCTTAAACCACATTAAGTTGTTCACTGCATTTTCAGGCATTCCAGCCCCATGCCTCATTGAATTTTTAGAAATTTGTTAGATGTGACGAACATTTCAGTCTGGTTTGAGATGTTGGTGAACATGTTTGATTTTTTGTCCTGTTCGAAGGCTGAAACAGGAAGAAAAGAATCATATGATCACAACCTTTCTTTATATTATAAATAGCCCAAGCTAAAACATGACCTTGGTCATGTGTGCCAATATTGTTTTCATTTTGAAAAGATGGCACAGTCTAAGAAACCGGGTTTCCTTGTAATTAGTAGTGCCTAATCATAATTGTAAGATGCTGTCATTCTGAAAGATTGAAAATTTATAGGCAACAAAAGCTGAGTACACCCACTTTAGATAGCTGTGTAGTCTTTGGTGTCATAATTTTTATTGAACAACACTTTCCTGCAAACTCTCCCTTGCAAATTTAAATATCAGACTTGGACTGAAATTCGCCATTTACAGTTGAACCTCTATATACCGTAAGCAGCCACCCAGTTGAGGTACCAGCAAATCGTCACTTAATGTAGGTTTGCCTTTCAACAGAGGTTCGTCATGAAATACCACAATCTTTAGCAGAAACGTCACTTTGTTTTGAAACAAACACGCAATGGGAGCAGCGTCACTGGTCCACAATCAGCTTTCACCTTCTCAGACTGTACAGTATTTCTGGATTAATTCAGGTTTCTGGGAAACTGCCCACCTACCCCTCCCCTAAGCCATCATTTTGCCTTGAGCGACAAGTAAGTGTTAATGTTAGCTTAGGGGAGCGGTAGGTGGGCATTTCCAGAAACCTAACCTTCATCATACACTGTATTTTTAATATCAAGCCAAAATGAGAGTATCAAAGGCTTGATGTCTGCTTACTTGAAGTGACTGAGAATAGGTAATGGGATGGTCACTTTGATAGAGGTGGCGGCAAAATAGAGGTTAAATTCTTCTTTTCTATGCTATTGTGTCAAGTTGACGTACGTAAGTTCAAAGGTTCAATCATTATTTACGTTTAACATGGATCTTTTATGTTAATTTGCCTCCCACATGCTGCTATTCAGCATTTGTCACGGTATGAAGGGATAAGATCGGAGCCAAAATTGACCAGAACACAGTTTTAAAAAAGAACAATTTTGGAACAAAGAACTTTTTAAAAAACAGCAATGATCACTGAAAAAGCAGCTGTTGAGCTGTTATGCCCCAGCTGATTGAATGAAATAGTTTTTCCAAACTTAGCATAAGTGGCAACTTTTTATCTTTGCAGATTTTAGGAAAACTATTTGTGTAATGACAAAGTCAAATAAAAAAATAATAATGTTAAAAAGTAAAGGTTGCACTTTTTCTGATTTTGTTGTGGATAACTTGGTTATGATTAATTTGAAGTGATTTAAAAGGCCAAAATAACAGAAGTAGCACCTTTTTGCACTTTCACATTAATTTTTGGAGAACCTGAGTTATATATAAAATGATGATGATGATGATAATGTAAGAATAACTTAAAAATAACTATTATCTTTTTTATCCTCTAGTACTAATGCTACTTATTATGGACAAATTTTACCTATAAGTAATTTCTATGCAATTTTTACTGTGGTGTTTTTTTACTTCTACATATAGGAATTCATTTTATTCTTCCTCTTTAATTTAAACTCAGTGATCATAGTCAGGTTCTAATAACAAGAGCTATAATTTGCACAAGAAAACAAAAACCTCTAGGACTGTGGTACAGAAAGTTATGCTTTCATGTGTTTTATTAATGTCATACATATGTCTTGTTGCACATGATCACTCCCGTACTGTGTATAGTACATTTGTACATTATATCAAATTTGTCAAGGTATACAGATAATATTGTTTTGTTTTGATTTTTTTCTAGTGAGAAAATGTTCAATGTGCAATACTACGAATACTGAGCCCCATTAGGCACTAATTCCGTTGAATTATCTTGTTTACCACTTCCTGTTTGGCACTATTAATTATTTTGTTATTACCTGTTTTACGGTTCAAGTAAAATCACTCTAAAAGTCTACATGTAATATATATTTAACAGAACATTTCAAAAACAATGAAGTTATCATTATGTGATGTCAGGAAGGAAACACTTTCTCTAGTTGGCATTCATGATTTAAAATTTTCACATTTTTTGTCACTCATTCTTTGGAGGAAAATATTTATGCACATGTACAGCATAGTCTTTGTCTTGAAGAGAAAAACTTAAACAAATCCAAGGGCAAAAAATAATATTATTATTATCAAAAGTGTATATATAGGTGAGTCAAGAAAGAAACAGCCAAACTTTCATATGCTGTGCGTTCTAGGCACCTCTTTCTAATTTTTTTTGCTTAGTATGCCTGACAAGCCTACTTAGAATTTAGGGAGTTCTTTGTTAGTTAAACTTTTAAGCAGATTAAGATATAAAATCCAAGTAATGGGCAATTATTGCCCATCGGCCCAAAGGCCGATGGGTCCCATAGTAGCCCCCAAGCGACAGACAATCACCATTTGCTGGAACGTGAGGACCATGTTGAGAAAGAGTGAAACAAAGCTGTGTGGAAGAGCTGGGAAGTAGCCAAAGTGGTTGCACAAGACAGAAAGTGTTGGTCAGACAGCGTGGAGGCCTTATGTGCCTACTGGCGCAATGAGACTTGATGATGAATTTAGTCATAAAGTATAAATTGTCAGGCAATAAAATAAGAGATTATAGCAAGAATTCTTGTAAAAAATTTCTCGAGTAACTTGGAAATTACAAAACAATGAGAGGTTAAAAAATTTTGAAAGACCTTTTTGTTGCACTGTTCTAAACAGCTGATGTTAACAGTGTTTAGAGGCAAGGTAGTTCTATTTTTAAATACCACAAAGGATTTTTGGAATTTCAGTGTATTATTCTTTTAATTTATTCAGCTCCTGCTTTAAAAAGAAACATGTCATTGATCATTCTCCTTCGTGACCATCTTAACCTCCACTGATAGGTGGTCAAGTTATTTTTAGCATGTAACAAAGACTTTGAAAGAAAAAAGTTTCTAATAATAACACAAAAACTAATTTATTTGGCAGTGCCAAAAATTGTTTGTTACTTCAAAATGTGAGGCATACATGCCTTACTGAGGAACTGCCCAACAGTGTACAGCTGTATGTTGTGCTAATGTAATTTCTTTTTTAGTTCTGTAACGTGTGAGAGTTGTGCTGGCAGTATGTTGAAGTCTTGGGTCTCAGTGAAAATTAGTTGCTGAAGGATAGTTATTTACTGCACTAACGTTATTTCTGTTTAGTTTGCAACTTGTAAGAGTTGTCCTCAGGCAGTGTGTTGAAATATAATTGGGTCTCAGAGAAGATGGTTAAAAAATGGGAGAAAGAGAAATGCATACAGTGCATATTGAAAAAGAATTGCAGTGTAATCATCAAGTGTTTGTTCTTTCACATCTACAATGTACTTACATGTACAAGTATATAAAGCTGAAATAAATTGGCCAAAACATGAACACTGTAATCAGAGGATTCCGCGTTACATGTAACTCTGATGACTCTCCCTGCTAAGTTCATATAATGGAGATGCAAAAAACAGCTCTAACTAATTGAATTCATGGACCTACATATATGTATAAACCCCATGGTGTGGCTATACAACTGAAATATTTTCAGTTGCTGCTTTGCTTTGTGCATTTTTCTTTTTGTCTTTTCTATTTTTATAACAGACTGTGGACTTTTGAAGAAGTTCAAATTTGACATTCCTAGGAGTGACCAAACTTTAAGCACTTTTTGTGACTTAAATCTTGTTACTATTATTAAATAATTGGTTAAAAAAATGAATCAATAATATTATTACATCCTTGAATAAATAAACTGAATCAAAATGTCAAAAATACCCTGGTACACCCTCAAATTTGCTTTTTCCCATTAGGCCATTTTGTCATGTTTAATCCTTGTGAGTCTTGAATCTATTTAAATGAAATGTTAATTTCACTATTAAAAATATAATGCTAATTATCAGCTGACGTGCAGCCAATAAGTCAAAAGTTGACTGTCGAGCTGACATTACATGTTTTGGCTGAAGAGACAAGGAATTATGTATGTTTTGAAGTTTTGGCTTCTACTCACATGCAGTGGGACAATTGTTAGATGTTTGGTCTTATAACTGGCTGCATGTCTTGGAAAGTTATAATAAACTTATTGTAACTCAGACAATATTTTTCTTTCCGTTGTTAAAAATAACCGTTATTAATTTTTGTGAGGTGAAAAAATAATATTAAAATTGGACATGGACTTAATATCATACAATAAAATTTTTTTTTGATGCTTATACATTGAATTAAAAGTGTTAGATTTGAGAGTTCCTAGAACTGTATTTTCTGTCTCTGTTAACAGGAATGTGATTTACCAGGATCGCCAAAGTCAACTTTCCTGATTAGCTTTAACCCTGACAAGTAAGTACAGTAAAGAGTTAGTTCTTTATTCATGCTGCGGGGTTACTCAATGGTAAACACCAGAAATATCGTGGCAAGGTTGTTGTAAATCCCAGGACAAGGCCATTTGAAAGTTACATGTATATTTTGTACCAGAAGTGAAAGCCAGACTAGCAAATGATTTTTTAACACCAATTTGGGTAGTTTGGCTTTTCTTTGTCTAAAAACTTTTCTATGTACACTGGACAGAGTTGAGGGAACAGTTTAGCTGTAGGTGGGGGTGACCAGAAAACCTTTTTTGCAGCACAAGAACTGCTTTCAAAGGGAAAAAAACTTGCAGGTGCATATTACGACACATAGCAGTTGCATGCCTGTAAAATTAACATCACAATGACATAAAAGTAACATCTGTCAGTCAGTCTACAGTAGTTGTATGGTACAGTGACATGCCAGAAGGACTCACATGTACAGTAAATACACTGTAATATTTTGTAGTCGTCCAGATGACTCTGGCTTTTAAAACCCACATTGTCTTTTACCTGCTGTACATGTATGTTTAATTACAAACCTCTCTGTGCTTAATTGAAGGATGACAATGGCATCTTCACATGGGGACCACACTGTTCGTATTGTTGACTGTAAAACTGGCAGGTGTCTGAAAACTTTAAGAGGTCATCCTCGCACACCATGGTGCGTTGCATTTCACCCATCATCTGATCAACTGCTTGCATCTGGCTGCTTAGGAGGACAAGTTAGAGTTTGGAATTTAAAGGTATGTTCCAAAATTAATATATTATTGATAAGGGAGGGTCCCTGCTCTGACCGCTAGCTGGATTTGTTCTTGGTAGTCCCAAGTTTAGCTCCTTGGTCATGCTTGTAATATAAATAGCCAACTGGTTTGCCTCTGGCCAATTGGGATTCTTAACTTTGGGGGCCACTGTGAAAACTACTGGTTTACTGGTAAGTTATGTTACCCCTATGAAGTCAGTTTTTTTTGAAAGCACAGTCAGGTAGCAAAAAAAGTGCACTTTTTACCAAATTGTCCATTTGAGATGGGATTGGCTAAACATGAGATTTGTAACACTAAAGTTATATTTTCCTGCTACTTGGATGTAACAAAGCAGCTTTTTTGTGCATGGGCATAAGCCAAAATTTGGACTTTGGATTTTTTGTGTGTAACGTTGTCTGGATTGGTCAGAATTTGCAAAATGAGGAACCTGTGGAAAGAACTGCATGAATCCTTGCTGAATGTGATACATTGTTTTTACCAACTTACACATAGCTTATACTGAAATCTAAATGGCCCAGGAGGGAAAATTAAATTGTATCATTCCATTTGAAATGGTAATGACCAAGCAGTTGTCGAAGGGTTAAGCAGTCACCTATTAAATTAATTTAGTGAGTCCCCTTTTGAGGTGCTGTGGCTTTTAAAATTTTACCGCTGACCTCTTGATTTGGAAAAGAGTCACTGGGATTGATTAATGAAGAAACAAAAATGGTAATCAGTTGTCTAAATTGTTTGAAAAAGTTTATTCTGACAGATCAGAAGAGATTAATATTACTGACCTGATCAGTTAGAAGAGCATTTTTTTTTTATAATTTAATGACAAGAAAAAAAAAACAACCACAAAAGGTCATGGACAGGTGCACAAGTGTAGTACATGTACCGGTACATGAACCTGAACAAAACTACTACTTTAGGTCAAGTTTTGTTGTTATTTAGTTTGAAACACTTAGTTAAACGTAGCTTTTAGCCTTAAGCTACACTGAAGGCCCATTTGCAGATTTTTGAATGAAAATTAATTTCATTTTATATGATTCTTTATTGTGCAGACAGGTGACAGTGAAGTGTACACACCTCCAGACAAAGCTGTGATTGCTTCGCTTGCCTTTCATCCCACAGATCATGTGCTTCTTATTGCCACCAGCAACAAACTTTTCTTTTGGAGCTGGGATCAGCCAAAGCCATTTGCTTGTGTTGAAACTGCTTCAGCTGAGGAAAAAGTCCGGTACTGGCCTAATAATATTGTTCATAAATGAAATGAAGATGGTGACAGTTAAAGATGCAACTTATACAATTACAAAAAGAAAGCCTGAAAAACTCAGGCTGGCTAGGATTTGATCCCAGTGCAGCACTCTTACCAACTGAGCTAGTAAGCCAATCGGGGGCTGGTCATTAAATTAGCTCATAAATCCAGCAAAAATGACAATGAAATGATCGCTATAATTCTTACCACTGTTGCATGCAGCTTTTCATGTGTGTGCTGCTCATGACATGAGAACAATCCAATCTGTCATAAGCAACCACTAAATATTTGAAGATCTCGTGATTGCTATTAGGAGGTGCTGTTTCTTATCACAATAGAATAAGTAAGGATCTCTCCATATAATATACATGGTGTAGTTCTATGTTGTCACTAAAAGTTCTTTGCATAGTCTCAGTAGCCTATTGCATGAAAACAAAAGTAGTTTCACCCCGGTTTTTTCTGTAAAAACTGCTTATTTTCTGTTGTGAGAAATTCTCAACTTGAATCTCATCCTTGGTGTTTGCCGTAAACATGACTTCTGTTGTGAGGAATTCTCAACTTGAATCTCATCCTTGGTGTTTGCCGTAAACGTGACTCTTAATCTCTCTATTGTTTTCAGGCTTGTAGCGTTTTCTTCTCTCGGTGATCATATTCTTACTGCAGTCACAAATATTGCATCTGAAACGGTAAGTTGATAAAGGTATAAATCTCTTTATCGTAATTTCTTCTGTGTACAATGCAGGGTTCGTACGGGTCATTGAAAACCTGAAAAGTCATGAAATTCAAGGATTTCATTTTTCAGGACTGGCAAAGATTATGAACCCTACAGTACAAATCAAAAGTAGCAAAATTACTCTTTTCACGCAAATGAGAAAACGTTTTTTTCCTTTCGGTTTGTTTTATGTCGTAGAAATATATGATAATGTTTCTAAAACAAAGGATAATAAAATTTAAATTAGAGATAAAATTGAACCTCAACACATGTACAGTATATGATAAAATACATGTCTGTTGTACCAAACCATATGCTTGGTATGCCCTCTGATTGCCTGGTTAAACTGGTTATCTTGGATGTGTGGTTCTATCTTTTCCTATTTAGTTCCAAAAACTCAATGATTCTATCTGGCTAATTTTCAACTGGTTTAGTACACGTATGTATCTCCCAAAAAATTGAGGACTGTGAAAACTGTAGATACATATATGAAGAATATTACATGGCGGTGCGGAGATACGAACTTTCTCTTCTATTGCAAACGAGTGAAATATTTTTCAACACAAGAAGAAAAATTTTGGACCTCCAAGCGACCATGTAATGTTCCATTAATTTTATTATATAAACACCAATGGAATAGCAAACCATTTTACTTTAATAATTTTTTGCCATGAAAGGCACAATTTATTATGTAGCCGTAGCAAAGGTGATCTTTTCCCATGTGAAGACAACATGTTATTTTGATGTGTTCGCACAAAAGCTCACCTGGTAAATTTGCACTACCTTTCTCCCTTAACGTCAATGCATTGCTATTAACTGGAAACTATCTTTTTTACCACAGACAAACCCTGGAACGATACCTCAAAGGTAGGAACTTTAACATAACTACGGTTAAAACTCCTTATTCTTTTCACTCGTAACAGTGGATAAAGAAAAATCTAAGAAGTAAAGAGTACAGTCGAACCCTGCTTTACGAACATCTGCTTTATACGGACACCTCATTATTATGGACAGTTGCTTTGTCCGTATAGAAAGAAATCCCTTACACAAGGGGGTCCCCCTGCCCTTACATTTTCTTTAAATTCAACGCACTTAAATAATACGGACACCCCGTCAACACAGGCACTTTCTATGCCCCCCTCAGTGTCCATATTAATATAACAGTGTATAAATAGCAGTAAAGCTTACTGGTGTCTAATAATTATCTTGTGAAGTAAAATAACCGTACCAGTGTCATGTCAAGTTTTTCCTTAATCGAGTGACTAATCGAGTCGGAATTCTCATTGAATCCCAGTCCTTTGCGATGGATCCTTGTTCTAGTCCACGCGCGGTTCGGTCTGATTACCAAAACCTCTCATCTAGTGTGTAGCGTACTTTAAAGATCTAACGTTTTGTCTTGCCTTGGTTTGCAGCCATTCGTCTACGATGAATCGCCTTCTCCAGTCAATTGGAAGCTCGCGCGTTGGCAGTGATCAATTCACTGCGTACATGCTGCGCCCTTCAAATGGCTCTTCAACAACTTCGTCACATGAAACTTCTACTGCTAATTCTTTGTCCTGTCCTCATGGGAGAGACCTGAATTCTGATCCTATTTCCACAAATGCTTCGGTTTCTTCAGAATCAAGCGAGAACTTGAATCTTAACTCTACCTCTAGTAGCGGAAGAGAGCCTTCGGCTTTTACAAATACTGAGACGGACTCTGAAGATAGCAGAAATGAAGATTACAGAGGAGTATTTGCTGTATTTCGCGCGCGTGACAGCAATTCATGGAACTTTCAAGTGACTGGCGATGAAAATGCTTCTAGCAGTGAATCAATGGAGCCAGACGCAGCGACAAACTCCGTAATGCTTGAATCTGATTCAGCTGGAGCCAGTTCAAGCGTCAGTTTGAGTTTAAGTGCTGGTGATACAGATATGTACTCTGCTACTGAAACTGTCACACTCCCAGAACCATCTGGTGGCGTGGAAGACTCGCTGCCGTTTAGCTCGCGATACCTGTCTTCCGATTCAGACGGAGCTGTGTCAAATGCTGACGAAACAAACCAGGAAGCTAGTGATCGCGTAGTTGGTGTAGGACGAGTTATAAATGTGGGGCCCAGCTCATCGCGGACTAGTTATCTTTCTCACGGTTCCAACCATAGCTCGAGCTTCGCAACTTTAGCGGGAGTCCAAGGATCTGGGACAGCCGTTGCTACGGCAACAGCACGGACGTTTAGGCACGTGCATACTGCGGTGGTGGTCGCCGATGGAACCAATGGAGGGCCCCAGTTTGCTCTCCGGACTGCGATTAATAGAGCCATTGCCGGAGCATTTGCGGGTTGCGGCGAAGGGGCTGTAGCCAGTAATATAATCAATACAACACATCGACTGCAGTGGTGGGACTTCTCTCAAGTGAAATTACCAGACTTGAAAGATAGTAAGTGGAATTAGTAAAGCATTATTTCCGTTTCAGCGGTATAAATTATGTCGAGGGCTACAAGGTGATTCCCTTGTTTTGCACAATACATCACCTACTGCGCAAACTATTGCGAAATCAAAGGTGGGGCAATTTTCGCCGGCCGCCCAAATAAAGGCATCAAAGACTGCTTTTGTACGCGACAATGATAACTTTTCCCGAGTAAAAAGTTGTTCTTGGAACTCTTTTCACTTCCCATCGTCCCCCGCAAAGTGGTCTCTGCGGAAGAGACAGCGCCTGGCTTCAGTGGGTGGACAGGGCATTGTTAGTTGACCTCAAACTGTTGCGGTTTGTTACTCAGCCAACAATTCTCAAAAGCTGATAAAATGAATTTAGTGATGACAATTAAGGGTGGTAAAGGTCATAGGCCACTATCACCAGCCCATACCCCGGAGAGAGCAACTCCCATACTAGGCCTTTTTCACGGCGTTTTTCACGGACCGGTTTATTTTTAAACACATTTTAGAGCACTTTAAACCGCAATACGGAAGCTTCGCCCCATCTGTTTGTGCATTAGAGGAATAAGATATCAAAAGGGAAAACTAAACGTCATCAAAAGATTAAAAATGCAAGTTTTAGGTTTGTAGGATTGGCTGACTGGTTTGTGTGACTTACATTGTATTGAGTTATTCTAATTCGCACCAAAATCGTTCTAAAAAGAAAATGGTCGGTGAAAACGCCGTGACAGGAGTACAAGGAAGTTGCTTTCTCCGCGTTATTGGCTCCCGCCACTACAGTCGAACCCCGCTATTTCGAAGTCCCAAGGGAAATGGAAAAAAGTTCGAAATAGCGGGGTTTCGGAATAACCGGGGAAGCGTAAAGGGGAAGGGTAAATCCAAGGGAAGTCGATCTTCCTTCGAAATAGCGGGGACTTCGAATTAACCGAGTTCGAAATAGTGGGGCTCGAGTGTATATAGAGAAAAGTCAGTTGAAAAACGACTTGTGATTGCGACGTGATCGCCGATAACTAGCCGACGTGAAACGCGAATAGCTGCCTGTTTTTCCTTACAGTCCATGCTAACTCACAGTTACTTTTAGGTGAATCTAACGTGATCGTACCAAGCTGTAAAATTCATAACGATGCCAGTTGCGACATCTCTAAAGATGGAAAACTGCTGGCCACTTTCGTGCCCAGTGCCCAAGGGTTTCCAGATGACGGAGTGGTGGCTGTGTATTCTCTGGAGAAGGAATATTTTGGACAGTGTGTATTTTCGAAGAAATTTGGTAAGGACTGAAACAAGATTATTTTTTAAGCATATCTTTTTGAATACTAGATCATTCATTTATTCAGTCATTCATTCAGTCTGTCTGTCAGTCAGTCAGTAATTCATTCCTTCATTCTACGCATTTTTTTTTTATACTCGTGGGACCTGAAAGGATATGTTGAAAAATTGCAATTTTTTCGACTGGGAAAATCGTGAACAGTCATAGGTATTCTTTCAGAGGACACAGTGCGCAGCTACTTTAGTAGTTTAATCCTTTAAGCCCTAATAGTGATCAGCATCAAATTTCTCCATGTGATATCAATGTTTTATAAAACAGAGTGGTCATGAGAACTACGGACAAGATGAATTTTCGTCACACAAGATGAATTTGCTTGATATTTTATTAACTTCTCCCCACTACATCTGTAGGAGATGAATAGGGGCAATAAATGAGAATTCAAATTTTGATCTTAGAGTTTAAAGAGTTAAGCAAGTAACTTGCAGATGGGAATACTCAAAAGATCAATTGTGAGCCTAGCCTGTAGCGTTGCAAGCGTAAAAAGGGAGGGTGCGAAAAATGTGAAGTGTTTCCAATAAAGTTTTTACCGTCCTCCCTCCCCCCTCCCCCTCTCCCTCTCCTATTACGCCAGAACATGCAGCATGTGTTGCGTATATGTCATTTTAATTGATAAAGACATCATGTTTGTCCAAGTTGTTTTGAATGTTTTGTTGTAATGAGAGTACATTTAATTACTGCTGATTTTTTAGGTCCAAACGCCATCTCTATAAGCCTGTCTCCCCAGAATCAATTCATAATGGTTGGCTTAGCAGCCAGACGACTGCACTGGCATCTTACGTCACGGCAGATGATAGCGCAAATTTTCCGGCTAACAGGCAAAAACAAAAGTAACACCGAGGAGGTGAAGGTATGTTACTGTCAACTGTAGTTCTTACATATTAGAATAGGTTAAATGTGTTATGTCCCAAGGATATTGCTGTTTTAGGCTAGTTATGTGCTAAAGGCATTTCTTTGTGCCTTTAACCATAAACAAAATGCTCCTGTAAGCTCCTGTAGAGTTATGAAGAAGATGTGAAACAAATGTGATCAGAAACTTTAACCATAATATATTTTTTGGTGATTTTTAAAGACGTAGCATTAAAACTTGAAATAGTTGGCCAACTTTTTCAAGTCTCAATTCATGCCCGTCCTTGCCATCCTTAGAAAAAGACGACATGAAGCAGTTTCAATACCTAAATATAGCCTTGAGTGGACCATTACTTTTGAAATTTAACTGATTCGAAGACACGTTTTAGCTTTTTAAAAAGATAGCAAATAGCGTGACGTCAAAGCCGCCCCTTAAGCCGAGTCTCATTTTTGTTCGTTTTGTGTTGTGTAGTAGTGCAGTGGCCCACCATAGGACAAGACTCTGTGTAAAACACAATGTATAATTCTGTGCCATCTGAGCGACTATCTGCTGTCCTATACAGGATAGGCTTACTTAAATGTCTTTTTGCCCAAGACAGAGAGGGGGGGGGGGGGGAGATCAACCCCCGACCGGAACTCCTATATCCAAACTTGGGCTAGCCTGGTATCCCTGCGGGCGGCAATGTAATTTGTGTCGTTCTTACTGCCGTCACAATCTCAGTTGCTGAAATGCCCTAATGACGTGTGCCGGACTAATTATCCGCTGCACCATTTTCTCTTCGGAAGGGTTCTTGGTTTTTTGGTACGGCACGCTTGAATTTCTCAGCTTTTCCGTGACGCGGCATTTACATGCTGGCCGAGAGATCTCTCCTGTTGGTTAAAAAAAGTGACTTATTTGACTAGGGATTTTACTATCTGAACAGTCATTGTTATTAGAAAAAGTATTACTTTAATGGTCATGAGTTCCTCGAGAGATGAATCCTAGCTTCCTGGCAAATCTCAGTGACATAAATCTTGGCGAGGGTCTTTTTTACATATTGCACCTCCTTTCATATCCCAAATTCTGGACTTTATCTATTGAACGGGTTTGGTTTTTATTTTTAATAGTGTGACAGTGAAAACTAGCAATTATAATATGTAATGAAATTCTATCCTTAGCCCGTCGTGAGTGTCATGCATGAGAGCGAGTCTGATCTACGAACTCACCTGAGTGTCAATGCAGCATTCTTCCATCCCCTGGTGGGGAGTGGATTGGTATACGGTACCAACCGAGGCCAAGTACTTCTGCGCCAGTTCGGGTAAGCATTTGCCCTATTGCTGTATCTTATTCTTCTTCTTATCCCAGCTAAGACGAGCTGCCACAACTTCTTCCATAGCCACGGAATCCAATTCTTGATCTACAGTCACTGCTAGGCTACTTTTCCGCCTGGTGTGCAAATAATTATTTTTGACTTACTTTTGGAGTGAGTTTCTTACATAAAATTATATTATTTACATCCGTTCTCTCTTTATTCCAGAACTCGCCCGCAAAACAGATTTTCCAACCTTTATGAGCAAGTATAAACTCAATGTATCAGTACTGCAAAGACTTTGAAGCAAGTTTCTGTTAAAGATCGTCTCTAAGATGCCTTAACAAGTCGCTCACTGTAGTGAACAGTCATTGCTCGCTTTGGAGCTGTTTGAAATAGCCTTGCTGGACAAGTGCGTCTGTTAATAACATCAATTTTAAACCCAAATTGGGTGGAGCAAGAGTAGGTGTCGAAGAACAGGCACAGGCTCACAATTTCGCTCATCTGTAAAGAATTTTTGTTCAAAATTTACCCATTAGGGTTATTTATATCGCTTACATATGAATAAAGTCACATTTTTCACGATATAAAATTGATCGGAGTATTCGCACATTGTATATAGAAAATAATTCGTCATGCTGAATGATGATGCCTGAATTTTAAATATAATTTTCGCGCGTTTAAGTGTGAGGCCATCTACAATTTTCTGTGCGATTTTCATGCTATGCTGCGTAAACTCGTACGCTTTGACGCCATTGTAAAAAAAGCCAAACGATTGATTGAAATAAATTATTTTTTTCTCCTATTCGCTTATTTCTTGTTTACTTCAGCTCACTTAGCTCGTTTTCTCGTCCCCAAAACCGCTCTGTCCTATTTGCTGTAGCTTGAGCTCGAGGATATGGTCTTGTTTTGTCGACAAAGGGGAGGTGTGGAACAGAATTTTTACCTTTCAGTAACAACCATCTGCTATTTCTCTCACTAGTTACCCCTGCCACCCCTTTTAAAGGTTGTGTTGTCAGAGACCTTGTGCATAAGCGCAGAGTTCAAGGGTAGTCATACGTAGAGGAAACCTGCACCTTCTTCCAAAGTGGTGGCAATGTTACATTTCTTGTTAGCTCGTGTTTACTTCGATTAAATCTGCAGAATTCCCCACTCCAGATAATTACAAGCTTTCGGCGCAACTGCTTTTGGGATCGTTTGGGAGGACAAGCGTTACTTATGACTGATTATAGTACGGCGGCTTAGCTAGAGAATTATGCGATTTTTGATACAAGCTCCAAACTTTGTAGGAATATTTACATTCCCGGGCTGGTCATTTCCTGTTATAGTGCCAGGTTAAATTTTCTAATTCCAGCTAATTAACAGCAAATGAAATTATCAGACCCGAATCGGAGACCCCCGCGAAGTACTCTGTCTTGCTCTTTTTGTTTAGATTTAATGCACGTCTTCTTTCAAAATACAGGTACCAAAAATACAGTAGAGATGTTAAATTTGGATGCGAATTCTTATTTTCTTTTCTTCACTATATAAATGCAGGCCGTAATTTGGAATTTATCTGCACATGCTTTTTCTCTTCTTTCTCTTGGTTCCGATGGTTAGAGTTTGCGCGCTATCTCATTATAAATGTCCATACGACTCCGTGCAGCTAGAAAAGAAACTTTTCTAGGTATAGAAAAGAAAACTGTCGGTTAAAAAAGAGGAAGTAAGAAATTAATATGTTAATTCTCAAGAAACAGGTCGCTACCTCAAACTATTGACTGGTTAAAATGTGTTATTTGCCAAAAGGAAGCAACTGAAAAACCTCAGTGTCCTGTTAACTGGAGACCGCAAGACTCTAGTGCTCGATGCCTTACTTTTGAACAAGACTTATATAGATATCATTTTATGAGGAGGGGGAATTACGTTTAACAGTTGACTAAAAGTGTTTTGACGTGGGAAATGGAATTGCTTCCACTTCAGCAAGTCGTTTGCTATACGGTGGCAAAGATCTTGTCGCGATGCGTTCTACAGGATGAAACTGGATCGCATGATGAAAAGAAAAATGCCCGTAGGAATCCACAGCAGCAAACGGACACGCTCGAGTATGCGTCTGTTCGCACGGAGAAGAAGCAGACATGAAAATGATAGTTCATGTAGCTGATGTAGTAGAAAATGATCACTAGTCAGTCATGATTCGAGCTTCTGCCCTTTTTTTCTCGCTCCGTTTTCCCCACTATCTTGGAGCCTCGTGAAACAGGCTTATTTAGACTTGAAGGAATTTTGGTTGTCCTATGGGACAAAAAACACCCACAACATCCTAGCCACTTATCTCTTTGCAAGGGCCCTTGTCCCATCTAAATCGAAGTTTCTACCTTTGTTCCATGCCCTAACAGTGTGTGATACAACTTCCTTCTCTGCTGGTCATGAAATTGCCAAAATAGTGAACATGGATTTCTGCCAGTTTGTTTCTTATTAAAAGGAAATATTGTTGTTACATGAGGCCATGAAATAAAATACAATGGAACCTCGATATAACAAACCTCTATGTAACGACGTCCTCGGCATGACGACCCATTTCTTTATACCCCAGCAATAGTAAAAAATACGAAAAAGAACCTCGATATAACGAAACATCGTTATACCTGTTATAGCGAACAAATCTCGGCCAGAACAAACTGCTATGGAAAATGCCATTAACATTTCTCTTCTATCGATGTTCTTGCAGAAGTTAAAAAGCTCTTTTTCGAGGTGGCCATCTTGTTATGCGCAGTGAGAGGTGCACAGTGAAAACCTTAGTTTAGTTTATTCTGTAACGAAAATGTGAAACCAAGTAGGCAACGAAGCTATGTGCAAAGATGTCAGTTGTTTTACATATAATGATCAAACCAACTGTTATGCAGTCGTTTTAGTTGTAGTTTTAGCCTTCTGTTGTCATAGCAACGCATAGTTAAGATTAAACAGCGTGCGGTAAATAAGAGGTACGTGGTAAACAGGGTGGTATCACCGACTTAAGGTGATTCCCTAGTAAAAGAACCTAACATAGATTTTAGATGAAACTTGGTACACTGATGCAACAAGTCAAGAAGATGATAAAAAGGTAATAAAAAGTGGGGGTCACCGTGCTCGTTTTGACGTCACAATGCCGACAAATACGGTTATTTTGGACCCTTTGACAAAAACCGCGTGCAGCCCAAAACTAGACAAAAAGGAAAGAGTTTTTCAATGATGCATATGGTATCGCACAGAATTTGACTTTAATGTATTGTTTATCCACTTACGTACTAGAAAAATGCCTTTTAATGCCCTTGTTTTTACTTTACGCTCCAAAGTAGAATTAAATTGGACACGCGCTATTCGATACGTGATAGCTCAATCCGTACAATTTAGTAAAATTGCCAAAAAACTGAACATAGATTTGTGCCAATTTTTTTCTCACCGAAAGGAAGCACTGTCCTTATTAAAATCATGAAATAAAAAATGGGGGTCACCGTACTCGTTTTTGCGGTAGAGCTGCAGAAAGTGCGCACCAAATGCATTTTCCTTGATTTTTGAGAGAGGACTGGGGCCAGTTTCAATTAGAATGTATGCGAAAGGGGGAAGAAAGTATTAAAAAATCCGTTTTTACAGAATTTACATCGAGATATCACATTTAGGACACAATGTGATAAAGAAAGCGTTTAAATGAAAATCAAAGCGAATAAACACAAAGTTAAATATCCACTATCGAGGTTCTCCGTGAGGAAGTCGAACTCAGCATCACGCGTACTGCTTACGTTATGCACATTCCCACCACATTGAGTCTCACCTCGGCAAGAAACAACCGCAAGCAAAGATTGCAGTAGCGTTTCTCTTCGGTCAGCTTCATTTTAGTAATGTTACTTCACATGCTCTTTTTTACGGAGGCCATCTTGTTATGCGCAGTAAGAGATGCGCAGTGCAAAACCAGGGAATCACCTTAAATGATACTATGTCTTCATAAACTAGGAAAAATGAATATCATTGAATTTTCCTGAATTTTAATTGATTATGGTTTCTATGGAAACCAACGTGATACAGGCTTGGCTATATCTGAAAATGCTTGTATTGGTGACTACTATCAGCAATGAGTGCACAATTCATCTGAAATTTTTAGCTATGCCGCCGAACTATTACCATCGAGCAATCATAACTAGCGCTTGTCCAACCAAACAATCCCAGAAATCAACGCACCTAAAGCTTGTACCCAGTCTCCGTAGAGTTTTTGAAGTGAGGAAATCAATAGAACTTTTACCTTGAAACGAGGCATTGGGGGCAAATTATCTTGAAGATTAAAGAAAAACTAAATTTACCTCCATTTTGGACCAGGCAATCTCATTGCCTACCTCAGAAGGTTATGTCTTGACTGTTTTAGGTGCAATTGAGACTAGGAATTTAGAGACATAAAAAATTTTGGAAGGTTGCCAACTAGCGTTTCATTCGGTGCATCGCGAGTCACGAATTAATGGCAATTGCTATAATATAAACTTCGTTGGCACTAAATGCTAAATTCATTTGGGGCTACGTGATATTGTGTCAACTTGTGAACAAGTTTGCTGTTCGGATAGAACATAATATTAATTAAGTGATGGAAATGCTTTGGTCAAATCCCATTGATTGTCACCACAGTACGGTTACAGGAGCGGAATTTGTGATTTAAAGCCAGGAAGTTATAACAGTTTGATGGACATAATCTATCTTTCCTTAATTAATAGCTTCTATCTTTGCCAAAATTCCGCCATTGTCACTACTCACTACAGTATACCAAATTTACCTCTCTGCTGTGCCAGCACATGAAGTCCTACATCTGCGTTGAAAAACGAAGGTTTGGAGGCTCTCGAAGTTGTCCCAGCGAAAATTTTCGGTTCTCTCTGCAGGTACCGTCATCACAAACAAAAGGAACAAAACAATAGAGTTTAATCCCCTGGGGGCTTTATTGTCTGGTGTTAGAGTTTCTTTTGTTGTAGGTAATCAATAGTCGTAATCAAGGAACTAAACATTCAAGCACTGGTGCAAAACAAACTCCCTTGTGCCTCATCCAAAGAAATGCGAAGCAATGATCCTCCATCGTGGAAGATTCACTGGCCCATGAAAGAGTTAACGTTGGCCCAGCACACCATCAAATGGGTTACACACTCTCGTCTATAAGGCGTATTGATAGATGATCAACTAAACTGGTCTAAACATGTTAGTGTTGTTAAAAAAGGCTTTGTTGATAAGTTAAACTTGTTAAAACGTAGCAAATTTCTTCCAAAGAATATGTTATTAGACTTGTATTTTAGAGTTATTATGCCGTCGATTGTATATGGTATATCAGTATGGGGAGGCCTCACAAATAAGGAAGGTTTTAAGGCATTAGAAGCACTGCATTGTAGAGCTGCGAGAATTATCTTTGAGCTACCTTGGGAGATATCTAATGCAGATGTTATGAAAAAGGCTAATTGGTCTTCTTTAGCCTTTATGTATAAAATTAGCTTAGCTAAGCTTATGTATAAAATCCACAATAACCTGACTCCAGACGCTATGTCAGCTATTATTAAGAACAATGATAACATCAAGCGATATCAACTTAGGAAGAAACTGAAAATTGATGTCCCTCGTTTTAACACCAACTACATGAGGAACTCTGTAGCTCGTAGAGGAGCAATAGTTTGGAACACGTTGGTTCCTCAACTCAATGAAGATATAGACAATGTTAAGAAATATGCGATTATGGCAAGACGGTCAAAGGCTCTGCTACACCTAGATTTCGACTGTATCTCCCCTCAAACATTAACCAGAAGGGAGGAAGATTTTAAGTATAATTAGTGTTAATAATTAGTCGATACTAGAGTACCACCTTGTACTTTAGAATTTTAAGCTTTTATCGTTTTAGACTTGTAAGTAGTAAGTAGCTATATGATTTTAGCTGGTGTATATCCTATTTATTTTCTGATTCATTAGTTATCTTATTTAATTATTTAGACACGACCCCACAAGCGAAGCGTCGCTTTAATATTTATCGTGTATAAATAAAGATTATTGATTGATTGATTGATTGACGAGTCCCAAGGAATTCCCAAGGAATACTGACCAATAAAGGTAATCATGTTAATTATGATAATAAAATTCCACATGCTACTGTAAAGCACAATTCGTCATTTGCATATCACCCATCAAAAAACCTTGTTTGCCCCTTCCCCCCCACCCCCCACCCAAAAAAATGCAATGTAAGAAAAAAGTAAAACCCAGGGGAAACAAAAAACAAAGCCCATAATGCACCTTGTCAATCCCAAAAGATTTTACACAACTATTATTTCCAATAGACTATTTTAAAGTTGTGGACTTAGTACCCTAGCCTTCGAGTAAATAAGAGGCTGACGGTGACCTTGTTTTGATACAAACCTCCTCTGCTTTGTTATGGAAATTGTCTTTGAGAAATACTAGTTAGCATAAGAAGAAGGCTTGTATCAAAACCGTGAGGTCACGGTCAGCCTTGCTTCCACCATTATTGTAAAACGGCCTATTGCTCCTGGGTATTACAGGAGTCCCAAGAGAAATCGAAGACAATGGTTCTGCAAAATCTTGGGGGAGGGGGGTGGGGGGCGTAAAAAAAGGTAAAACAAATGAAGCTATGTGCAAACGGAAGCTACAACTTCCAACATGTTGGGAGTTGTTGCATTCCTTTGCACGTAGCTAAGCGTTCGACCGGTGTCAAGCTTTGCGCAACACTTCCCAAAAACACGCAACAACATGCAATAACGGAGTCATTCGTGGTGTAAAACCTGTGAAGTTTTTCTTTGTTTTCTAGCTATTATTTTCCTTGGCTCTATTGTGTTGACTTATCAGTGGCTTCTTTGTATTAATTGTTTTACCTCACTGGTGAGTTTCGCAGGTTTTTATACCGAGTATGAGCCCAAGAACATGCAAAAGGTTGTGCAAACGGATTCAACATGTAACATCCAACAATATAAGTAGTTATTGGCCAACAATTTTGCGTCCGTTTATGGTCTCGGTGAAAAGAGTGAATGCAAAGTTTTTAAGGGCAAACCAGGTGTATTATGGAAGATGTCAGGACCTGGAGATGGGCCAATGGCGAATATAATGCGTTCGAATTATCAAAATCAGTCAAACTTGGCCCCGAGACTGAGCGGAATGAAACAAAAGAAATGAATTATTAATCCCTGAATCTCAATGCGTTTTGTTTGTTTTGTTCCCGGGAGGGTGTGCCGCCCGGTTCTCCTAATCCTGTCCTTATTTCAGACCAAAACATGTCATTTTACACACCCGTTTTCAGTTCTGGCCTCTTAGATCCATAGTCGTTTCCAGACGTTACAGGTAGGAATTATGTCATGACTACTTAGATAAGATCGCCAACAAAAAGACTTCTTTAAATCCATTGCGAACTCGCATATTACTCTTTCTTTCTTATTCATTCGGAATTGAAACGAGAAATACGCTCATACACTCCCGTAGTTCTCTCGAAAACTATATCCGATTCCAGACCAAAATGGGCAAAGTCTATACCCGTTTTCAGACCGAAGCGGCGCAGAAACCATACCCTTTGGGGCGGCACATCCCTATATGGCTTATACAGTGAGGGAGTACCCCTCCTCTACCGAGGTTTTGTTCCCTTTAGCCTCGGAGCACACTTATCGAAGTTTAGGATGGATTCTTTTGCAAGATACACGTGTAATGTCGTTGCAGTTACCCAAAGAAATGTTTTTATTTTTTCAAACTTAAGAACAATTATCGTAAATCCTCTATTAAGTCACCGGGGGCTTATTTATTTCAAGCACGTTTAAAGGTTGGAGGGATAGAAAGTGAATTGGGGCTTATTAAAGGGGAGCTTAATAGAGGATTTACCGGAAACAAACTGTAAACTGCTAAGCGTGCACCATATAAGCAATAGAAAACGTCTTCGGCCGTGTTTGCATAGCCCAAAAAAACTCGAGGGAGTGGGAGAATTCTCGACAAACCCTCGACGAGTATTCTCCAAACACCCTTCTCGTCAATTCAACTCGCGAAAATTCTCCAAACTTTCGACAAAGAGCTAAAGGGATATCATCATCCAGAGTTTGAAAGATCGCGAATAAACTCAGGGACGTCTTCAATGCCATGATCGTCATGGTTACTGGTTAACACTGTCACAGGGCGCTGTAATAACCTAATAATAAGTTGTGTGATAGTATCCATAGAGACGGGAAAGGGAAACATTACAAGCAAGATAGAATAAGCTCATTCTCTCTTTTACAAGCTCGAGGCAGCTCTGTCATACGCGATTTTCCCATTTTTCCTTCCATATTTAAGGCACCTGGTTCGAGTAAGTTTAGAACGAAAGTCGCGTGAAAATGTTTTGACGATGACGGTAATAAAAGCTTAAAAAACTCGCCAACGAAGAGTAAACAAGCATTAGATTTTAATAGCGATTTTCGCCTGGTATTGTGTACAAGTTCTATTCATAAAGCTGGCTTTCCTATCTTAATGTTCTGTAGCTTTCATATTCTTTACATCTATGGATATCTTGGCATGGCTTCTTCTTCGTAATGAGTAAAAATTAGTCAAATGTTGAAGTTCTATTTCTGCAAGTAAAAGAATAAATAAATAGATAAATAAATACAGGAATCCATGGGCTCCAGATAAATAAGTAAATAAATGAATAAATAAATAAAATGGATGATAAAAAGTCAGCACATATCGGTAATTGGGTCCAAGCCATTATTTTGTTACCACTAGACAGCAAATTACTGTTTGGTCATTGCACTGTTAGGGTCTTTTTAATGAAAAGATAGATTGTCTTAAACATATGTGCCTGTGGATCATGGCCCATGGTGTGATCATTTCAATAGGCCATTTCCAACTTCCCCCTGTATCAAAACGAGGTTAAGTGCTCAGCCTTTGATACGGAGATGATTTTTCATTCTCATGCAAATCAAGCTCATTTTCAAAGAAAGGTTGTGCACTTGGCCTCATTTTGAAACTGAGGGTTTTTGGAACTCAGAAGAGGCCTATTCCCCACACATGAAACTATAAGGGGAATGGGTACAAGCTTTCGGCGCAACGATTGCTGGGATCGTTTTCGCGGACAAGCGTGCCTTGTTTATATATTCAAGATTTTCACACAACTAAACAGAGATTCCCATTGGTAGATTCTTGGCCACGTGGCCTTAACTAAAATCAAATCAGTGTATTCCGATCGTCACGTGATCAAACATGGAGGAAAGTGGCATGACAAAAGGTGGGAAAACCTGTGCCAGCTTTCACTATCGTGATGAGTAAACACAAACCCGAAACCTTAAGTAAAAAAGTAATGATTTTCGAAGTTATCCAAGGAAAATGGAGGAAAGAAATGCGGATAATACGAGAAAAGTACTTTAAAAATCACTCATTCAGAGGTTATGAGAATCTAGTAAATATCTTCTTGTAAGTACCGGCATTGTTTTGATTCACTCTTTATTCTTTGTCGCTGTTGAAGTGAAAGTCTAAGAATGAAGCAAAACACTCAATGCTAGGTTCCTCGTGAAACCAGTTAGTTTTGTTTTTCATGAAGGTCTTGATGGTTCCCTCGACTTTGTCCAGGGAAACATAAGCACGTGATAAGGGCCCAGTTGTTCGAAGGCCGATTAGCGCTAACCTGAGGTTAAATTTCAATCCGGGATTCTTTTTGTTTTATTCGAAAGCATTTTCTCGGACAACTTTCTCTATGATCATCCAATCAAGGAACTCAACTGAATTTGACTTTTAAGCTTTAAAATCTGAATTCAAATTTCACACCAACCCTGGGTTATCTTAACCCAGCTTCGAACAACTCGGCCCAGGACTCTCGGGAAAACAAAATTAACTGTTTCCTTCACCACTTTAGAACCGAGAGGGAAACTGGGGTGAGTCAACTTTCGCAAAGACTTCTGGGACGGTTTCTAGGGACAGGAAAAAAAATTGGCCAAAACATTTCGGCTCCAGTCCTCTTCTTGTTTCTAAAATAGCAAATAGCAGAGAAATAATGCTAACCTCTCAGGAAGGGTGGAAACGTTACACAGATTTCCAGCGCAGCAACACATTTTATATATTCCTTGTGAATGGCGGAGTGTATGGAATTGACAATCCGTGGTATTGGAGCAGATACTATTGTATTGTTCCCAGCAGCCTCTATACCGTAACTATAAAGAGGGAAAACAATCAGCATATCAGTACAATACAACTTTTAAGAAGTAACTTCAGTGACATCATCGTGTGAATTTTTTTTAACTCGACTAAAAAGTCAAAGGGTTGGGAGATTAGCGCGTAGGTCATGTTGAAGTGACGTATAACACTGACAAATTAAATTCGACACACCCACACCTGGAAGGTGCAGTAGGGAAGTGTATTTTTTTGTTGTTTGTTTTCACAATGTTATTTAACGAAAAAAGACCAAAAGCCAAAGGTGCAAACGGGACCTAAAGTCCAATGCAGGGCATCTCTAAAATAAATCATCAAAAATCACCCTTGAAGGGTTAAGGGGAATTTATTATTCATTCAAAATATTTCCCCGATTCTGATTGGCAAAAAGCACTCGTGTAAATTGCACCATAACCAGCTACTGATGACCAAATTTGTAAGAATTTTGGGATTAATGAACCGATGACGTCAAAAGCGCAGCTTCCTTGAAGGTTAAAGCACCGTTAACCGAGAAGACCTGGGGACGTTGTTGAGTTGTTTGGGTTGTGGCAGACATTTCACTCGTTTCAAGAGTAAGGACTAGGCTAAATAACAGCTAAAAACATGGCAAGAACAGCAAGAAGACAACTGGAAGGGCGACATCTGCTATTTGGAGAATATTTGTGGAGCTGAAC